AAACCGTGAGAACCGAATGAATTTTCGGTTCTCACGGTTTCGATTCCGGTTCCTAAAATAAGGAACCGTTGAGACCGGTTCTAGTTCTGATTTTTGGCTCACGGTTCGGTTCCCGAACCGGAATCGATATATATATATATATATATATATATATATATATATAATATAATATAATATAATTATACTTGTGGGCTACTAATACTGGGCTTTGGACGTGGGCTGTGGAGTGTGGGCTGTGCTTTTTCAGATTTTAGATTATCAATTTAACAGATAGACATAATACAGATATTGGATAAAACATAAAAAATTAAAATCACAAATTTTAAACTCAAAACTCAAAACCTAAACCTAAGTTTACCACTTTACCTAACCTCTCAAACTCACTCCGCGGCTCCACCTCCCCTCTCAGCCTCTCGGCCCTCTCAGTCTCTCACTATCTTAAGTCTCAACTCACTGGTCTCTATTCTCTATCTTCTCAGAACTCAGAAATCTCTTCGGACTCGCCTCAGATCACAGTCTCACAACTCTCGCGGCGCCGACTCTGATTTATTGATTCGTGGATTCGGTCGGATCGGTCTTTGTCTTCTCAGATCTTTAACTTCCGGTCTCAGTTTGGAAGGTATTTCGTAGCTCTCTTATCTTCTCAGATCTTTTGCTTTTAGATTCGTGAAAATGGATTGTGGATACAAACTTTTTATATGTGATTGTTCTACTTGGGTCTTTAGGGTTTGATCCATCCATCTTGTTCATATATTTGGGGGTTCAGGGTTTTTCCATCAATTAGTCCTTTGGTTTGATTTGGGTCCTTTTCGATTTCTCTCTCTAGTGAATGATGAACGATCAATTTTTGTTAGCAGCTACAATGGAGGAGTCATTGCTGCTGTTGCCAAATGATGTTGGATTGTTGAATGTTGATTCAGTTTTTTTTTTGTTTTTACTTTTTTGTACTTCTAATGGAGTAACTGAATTTATGGGATGTAATATTTTTATATTGTGTGTTTATTTATGTTATTGTATTTGTATTTTTTTCAAGGGAAATTAAAATAATATTGAAAAGTCAGCTTGGTCAACGGTTCCATAGAATCGAACCGGAACCGAACCGTGAAAACGGTTAGGTTCTAGTTTGGTTCCACTGCCCACGATTCCGGTTCCAGCAGGAACCGAAGGAACCGAACCGTGTGCACCCTTAGTTTATAGCAAGTAATTACCATATAAGGTACATAATGCTATATATGGTAATGAGGGTATGTTAAGACAACTACCATATAAGGTAATGTTATATATGATATTGATATATTATAAAATATATTATAACAATACATGGCAACAATATATTATAAAATATATTCTAACATGAAGAATAAAATGTTTGTTATTAATTTTATTTTATGAATTGTTATTAGGTTATGATAAGTAGCTTCTTCCTTTTTTATTACTAAAAATGCACTTACTCACAGACATTTTTTCCTGAGCTCAAACTTCTTTCTTCTTCTTTGTAGATGAAAATTTATATACCGGTTAGATGTTGTTTAATAGTTATAATAGCTTGATTCATTTTATATTATGACATTGTAAGAAGTAAGAACAATTTCATTTCAATTTATCAATTAACAAGTATGTGAAATATATATATATATTTTTGTGATTTTTGTTTATTATGTTTATATATATTTATATAAGCAACTTGTTCAACCTATTTCATTTTTTTGAATATTCGAATAATCTGAGTAACCCGAACAAAGGATTGAGATTTCTTGGATTTCTTGCACCATGGATCGGACTTGCCTCATTGGGCCGCCCAACTAGCCCTGAGTCTATCTAACTTACAAGTTAGAAGCAAATAGGGCTGCAAATGAGTCGAACCGAGCAGAGCCGAGCTTAGGTTTGCTCGGGCTTGGTTTGTTTATTTATAGGGTTTGCTCAGGCTCGGGCTCGGCTTATGACGAGCTCAAAAAATTGAGCTCGGGCTCGGGCTCGGGCTCGTTAATTTTTTTTTTTTTTTATATATATATAAAAAATTACTTCTCAAAATTAATTAGTATTCGACAAAAAAATAAATAAATAAAAAAATTTTCGGAAGATAAACACTACCTGTTTTATAAGAACAACTGAGCAAGTCTGAACTTACAACACTTAACGAAAAAAAAAAATTACAAGAATTAAAGTAAGGTGATACCTAATAATACAAAATCGCGGTTGTCTAGATTCATGGAATTAAAGTGAAAGTAAAGTTTTGCCAAAAAATTAATTGATGCAGTACCTAATTGATGCGGATGACGTCGATAGCGAGGACAGAGGACGGCGACCGACGATGACTAGGATGGAGGAATAGTGACACTGACGACGGTAGGACAACGGACGACGTCTATGCTGAGGACAGAGAACCGCGATGATGAGGACAGACGATGCGTTCAGATCTGAGAAAGAGAGTTATGTCGATTGAGTTGATTAGAGAAAGACAGAGAGTTAGTTGTGTAGGTAGAAGGGTTGTCGTCAGTTGACTAAGCTGGTGGAGTTGATTCATGACTCGTGAGTGAGAAAGAGAGATAGACTGACGATGGGATTTGTTGTGGAAAAGAGGCAGATCTGAATGGTGGAGTGCAGTTTTAGGGTTTTTGATATCTTACAAAATCAACGGATGAGATGGGTTCTAATTTAATGGGTGAGATGAAATCTTATTTGGGCTATGGTGGATTTTCTTTGGACTAGTGAGTTATAATTCTTGGGCCATATTAATGAAAAATATGAGCTGGGCCAACTTTAAAAATAATATGGACTAAACATTTTAAATGTACAATAAAAATAAATGGGCCTGATATATATAATGGGCATGATATATATAATGGGCCTAATACAAGCCTTGTTCACGAGCCTTAACGAGCCCATATTTACGAGCCTATGCGAGCCGAACCCAACGTTGCTCGGACTCGGCTCGTTTAGAAAACGAGCTAGTTTAGAAATTGGGTTCGAGCTCAGCTCGTTTATTTAATGAATGAGTTCGAGCCGAACTCTTAGCGAGTTGAGCCCGAACTATTCATGAACAGCTCGATTCATTTGCAGCCCTAGAAGCAAAGAATATTTTGGCAAGGTGAAGGCAGCAATTTAAATTATGAGATTTGCAATTTTTGATAATATATTTTGGGAAATGATATTTTAACTTTGCTTTTTATTTTATTTTGGGCAGAGTAATATATATGGTCCCAAATATATCTCTCATGAACAAGTCAACAGTAGGGTAAGAGAGAGAAGGATAAATTTTGATAGAAATAGCATTGGCTGTTACGCCAAGTCGGTTAATTTGTTGAAGGGTCATAATTTTGCAGTTTGAGAAAATGACTTAATATTTTTATTACCCTTCACGAAAGAAATATACATCAGTGCCAAATGGCTAAAGCCATAACGAGAAAAATACAATTTTTGTATAAATTATTATTGCAGTATATGTTTATTTTTAAAACGTACGGATCCTTAACAACTTGTTATGTTTGATCAGTAATGATTGCTCTCAAATTCCAACCAAATTATTATTATTTTTTTATCTTTTATCTTTTATCGGATGATATGGGTACCTTTACCCATTTTGCTCTGCGGGTGCTTATTTAATTCACCCGGAGCATGAAAGATTTAAGATTAAAAAAATTATTTCAAAATTTTACTTAATTATTTTTAAATTTTAAACATCGTATTCGATGCTTCCAATGTAATGATAGAGTTTTTTATAAAAATAAATTTGCGATTGATCTATAACCCAAAATTTGTAGTGACTGCCGAATCATTATTATTATTATTATTATTATTTTTTTTATAAGTAAAATTATTAATTTTTCATCTCGGTGAGTGATTTTTTCTTTTAAAAATTTTTATAGTGAAAGATTTATAATCTCGTGACAGCCAAATCATTATATAATACAGTACTGAAAGATTAAGAGAGTAAATTAATGTAATTGCTGTTGCGCAAAGACTTCAATGTTATTTTACGTGCCAATACAAATTAATCATCATTCTCGGGCGTGTGTTAAGATCTTGGAATTATCATTTTCTCAAGAATATTTTAGTAATGCGTGGGACATGTTAAGTCATCAAAGCTAGTGCCCAATTTTACTTGTTTAATTCATGTCTAAAACGGATACATATAATATTACAGAATGTATTGTTATACAAATATGTAGCGTACGTCCAAAAAGAGTATGACTAGCGAGCTTCATTTGAAGCATCAATGGAAACAATAAGAAAATAAAAGTATCCTCGATAACTTATAGTGGTGAACTAATTAAAGACATCTCTCTCAATGTTGGTGGCACGTTTAATTAACTTTTTGACAACGTTTCTAAAGGGACGGGTATGTTACATAGTACTTAATTACATCCATAATAGTTAATAGTTAGATGTTACTACTATAATATTTCAATGAATACTTCAAACATAAAGAGAGGACCTAGCTATATACTACTATTAACTAACTTGTTTGGACTCATTCTATAACAAACTCAACCAAAATGTTAATTTGTTATGTTAGTAACATACTTTGAATAAATTTTACCGTGGGTTTCAAGTGCAGAATGCAGATAAAGGACAACCAATGTAAAAGTTTATCATTACTAATATGAACATGAATTTCATGAATACACAACTATGTGGTCGGCTTGAATTAGACTATGATCTAAATACAGATAGGTGGAAATATAGAATTTATGTAGCCGACTCCAAATAATTGAGAAAAATCCTTATTGCAGTTATATAATTTGAATAGAGCCATCATGAGGATCAAACTTAAGTCACTAGTACACAAATTAACCTTTATTACTAGATTTCTGTCTCAATTTACATGCTTTGAAAATTACAATTTACTTCATTAACAGTAATATTAGTAATTCCTATGCATGGCTTCTCAGTTCCCTTTGGAAGAAGCTTTATGTGCCACACAAATTATATGGAATTCATCATCTGAATTTATAAGCCCATTACTTCAAATCCCACATATATATAGCAAGCCAGCCCTTTTAGTTCTCGCCACCGTATGGAGATTCACTGAAGGTTGGAGGAACCACAACAGAAGAAGAAACCTTGAACCTCTTACTCCTCGAAACCTCGCTCCGGCCGATACTGGCATCTGGACTATCCACCCACCCCACAATCTGATCTGCATACCCTTGATCACCACCAAAAAGTTCCCCAATATCCGATCCATCCGAGTCCAACCCGGGATGCCGGAATCCGACCCACTCGGCACTGCTACAATCTGACACACTCGAGTTCTCCCAAGGAGATGATGGCTGATCATGATCAGGCACCACATGGGGCACAATGATGCTTGGTTGCACCACCTTGTCAATATTCTTGATATCAACTGGACTTTGGTGGTATTGGTAACTCCTAAAGTGAAATATATTAGCAAAAGTGAAGTGGTCACTTACCCTACTCTTGGATGACTTGTTATCTGATGACCTAGCCATGATGTTTTGCAAATTCTTGCTCAGCTTAGCTTTCAAGGAAGAGAAGCTCAGCCCGTGTCGCGCATCCGGTTCGGGGACTAATCCGCCATTACAAGGGGACGAGCCCGATTGACACGAGCCGGGGCTCACTGCTGCGAAGTTGGTTCGAGCATTTTCGCCACGTAGGGCTCGGGCAGCTTCATCGTAGGCTCGAGCAGCTTCTTCAGGGGTGTCATAAGTTCCGAGCCATAGTCGAACGCGTTGAGATGAGTCCTTGATCTCAGCAACCCATCTCCCGGAAGGCCTTTGTCGCACACCGACGAATCTCCGAACGGCTGATTTGGTTGGTTGTGCCATGTTGGTGGTGGCCATGGCTGTCTTCGTGGATTCGGATCCGGCCATGTTTAGGGTTTTCTGTTGGTGGTTCAATGGGGGACTACTAGTTGACAGTGGTTCTGTGTGAAATACGGAATGGTACCATATATATAGTGTGAATCTATAGGAGTAAAGTTATAGTAGTATGTATGTTTCTCAATTATTGGTTTGTTTTTTTTCCGATTAAACGTTAGTGTCAATCTTTTGCATGCATGACGTTCGTACTTCCAAGATATACATACTCAATCGGCTAAGCTTGGCTAGCTTGTGATAGAACTCGAGCATTCCTAGCTAAATGCCATCTTATTTGTGAATAAAACAAATTTGATTAGATATACAGTATTCTGTACTGGGGTGCAAAAGATATCGATGGAATGTGATTGAACTCATCCATGCCAATTGATTAAGCATGAACCATTTGATTTTCTTAAAATGTACCTGCAGAGCATGTGATGTTAGCTAGCTATCACAAATGTCCATGCAATAAGACAAATTTATGATTTAATTCAGAACCAAAGAATTACTTTATTTAAATAAATCTAGTGCTAGCCTACATTTTGAATTCTGTTATATATAATAAGGTTGGAGGCTAGTTCCTTTTTTATTATTTAGATTATTATTTTTTAATTATTGGCAAAATAACATACATCACTTACATATTCACTTTAATACTATAAAAATTATTATTTTTCTAATTATTTAAAATAAAAATTTCTAAACAAAAATTAATATGATTAGTAGCAATCTCGATCTCTTTCTCTATTCATATTAAATGCCTATGAGATATACTCCACCAATCCCAAAATAAGTGTTGCATTTAAAAATTCAATGTACTATTTTTTTGTAATATTATCAATTTAACCTTCATGCATAAAACATTATATATATATATATAAACAAAAAAAAGTAAATCATCACATCACTGTGGACCCATTAAGCGTATATTTGATAATTTATTCACTACTAATACAATAAAAATTAATAAAAAATATTCTTTTAAAAAATTAGATTCCCAAAAAGAGATTTTTTTTTTTAAAACAAAAGGAGTATATATTTTTTTGAAGGGTCATGCCTAAAATATTAGATTGCCATGTATGAATCATTCTAAGTTAGCAAAATTAATATATTTTGTGATTAGCTGCCAAGAAGCATTTATAATGATTGTTCATCCTTTCTCATTCTCCTCCACAAGATGATATACTTTTTAGTCACTTTCATGCATTGTTCATTCTCAAACTTCTATATAAGAGAAAAAAAATGAAGTTAAAATCCAATCAAGAGTAGATATCAACCCGATCAATAGACTCCCCCCTTTGGATTGATTTCATCCCTTTCAGTACACCACGAAATATAGGTGTACTTCAAATATAAGTTAAAATATAATTTTATTTTTCTTATTTATTTATTTGCATTCTCTCATTTTTTTTTCCTAAACTGACAGTTACATTTTGATTTGGTTCCAAACTTCCAAAAAGCCTATATATATCTCCTACCAACCAAATGGGGTCCCTTGAAAGATGCCAAATCGTCCTTAATTCGGCTTGGGAACCCTGGCTCTGTGCAAGCTGAGCCGAATTGCCTACAAGAGAATAAAATCAGCGAGAAGCCGACAAAAAGAAAGGCGATCATTTTGTCGGCTTGTAAATGAAGAACGGTTTTAAAACGTTGGAATTAGAATTTTAAAATCCGGCGGGAAAGGTGAGTCTGTTTGGTAGTGACGTGGAGGCAACCCCTTGGAATTTAGAACTTGGAGACAGAATGATTGGTGGGGCCTCACTACACCATATCGTGTCCTTTGTGCTGTTTTGTATTGCAATGGCCAATAATACCCCTCCCTAATCATGCACCAATCATCCCTAGAATTTGAACTACAGTAATTTATTTGAAACTTGGAGGGTTATTAGGGAAATTAATTAAAATTGTCTTATTATTAAAGCTGTGGCCATTGGATTAATTAGTAATATGTTGCTCATTCAAATGCACCTTAGATACCCTACATTTTCATTCCTCCATTGATGGAAATGAGAGATTTGTTGTGAAGCTAGGTGGATTTTGCACAACAAATGGTCTAGTTTCATGGTGGCCGATCCACTCGATAGTTTAATAACTATATATATATATATGATTCTTTGATTAATTAATTACTTATTTTGCATGATTTGGTTACTTCTCCAATCATGAATTAGGGCTGAAACAAGTCCATCTTACATGATTGACAGTTGATATTTTTAACATATCAATCTAATGTAAAGTTTGCAACAATAACAGCATTTATTGATACTTGTCGGATATTAGATGGTATAGAACAATGTTACATAGGCCTGGTGGTGTTGCTAGAGTAGAAAGGACCATCAGTTGTCCCCATATATAGTCTTGAGTTCGATTCCCTCCTCCTTAATTATTAACACAGCATAAAAGAAAAAATATATATATATATACATTTATATCCATGAATGATTCAATGTATGAATCGATGTCAATATCATTTTTCATACATCATATAAATTAATCATAGACAAAAATGGTATTATGATTTTATATGTTATAAAATACATAATAAATATAAGTTTAAAGTATCTTTGCATTCATGTGGAAGTCACACGACCATGTTGTTGTTATCATTTTTTAATTTAGTAACTCTATTGTCCCATAAAAAATATTTTTTTTTGGCGGGAATTTTATTTTTTTAAGAGTGTAATTTTTAATGATATATATATATATATATATATATATTATTATAGCGGTAGAGAATGAATTTTCAAATATATGGTATGTCTATATGAGGTCATTGCTTTTATAACTTCAAGTAATGAGGGTAAATTAAAAATATTAAAAAATAGTACATTGAATTTTGAATTGAAACAATTAAAAATGAAAAGATGAACACCATTTATGAAAGATATAAAGTATACGATGCATTCTCGGAATTCGAAGGATATACCATTTCCCTCAATTTTACTGAAAGGTGGACCGGCAAGAAGCTAAGAATTCTCTCCTTGTCATCCTTGAGATATTAAAATAAAAAACCCAAGTATACATATAATAAAATTGTAATCAAATAAATCATCAACCTCCAATATATATATCTTTATTAATGTTGTGAGGCAGCAAGCTTTTCCCTGGGGGCATGTAAGCAAGGACGGAGCCAGAAATTATGTCCAAAGGGGCACAATGCAGTAAATGTTTTTGAGGTAGGGCAATTTTAATTTTTTTAAAGAATTATACATACAAAAATGAATTTTTCTAAAGCTGAGAGAGGAAATTTTAATTTTTTTAAGAATTATACATACAAAAATGAAATTTTTTAAAGTTGGCAGGGAGAAATTTTAAAACTTTGAAGAATTATACATATAAAAATGAAATTTTTTAAAGTTAAGAATGGCCAAATTTAAAATTTTAAAGAATTATGTATACAAAAATATAACTGGCTCCGTCCTTGCATGCAAGTTATAAAATGCCATTATAGAGTTCCAACAAATTTAAAAAGGGAAATGTAGAATGATTCTTCCATCACTTAAGTAGCCTCCAGAAATACAGCAGAGCATTTGGATGAGGTCTAGTGTGATTTCAATATATTATAGTTTATACAACAACCTGCCAACTAGCTAGACAGTTGATAAGTTCGTGCTATACAAACAAATAATTATTCCTTCATATCATATAATGATGCAAGTGCCTAGTCAAAACATTCATAAAATATCAGATAGAGAATTAATTAATCAAATGAGTGTTAAAATTACGCAACCAGAAAGGGTCGTTGTTATATACTACGTATTTCAATTAATGGATATATAGATATCGAACACAGTGTAGTTTCTTTGGTATGTATGAATAAAATGTGCAGAAGTTGAAGTCCGTTAAAGACCAATTTATATCTACTTAATTAGTGTGTTGAAGCAAGTTTGACCTGAAAATGATCTCCATATATATATATATGCATCATCTATTCATCAACTTTAATTAGAAAATTTAATTACACCATATATACAAGTTTATATAACTATATATGAAACAGAGGTCAGTGCTGCCGAACTCACTCTCTAGTCTCTAGGGCTGCAAATTTTCAAACTTGGCTTTATTAGCAGCCTCTGTCATTTCATGCCCCTGAATGAAGATATGAAACCACACATCCTCTAAAGGTCGACTTAAGGTTAGAAACTTGAACCCGACATGGCAATAACTCATATAAAAAATTACATATAATTATAGTAGGGTTGCTAGCCTAATCTACCCGAACACGCTCTTAATAGAAAGACTTTGGAATCATCCTAACAGGTTAGAGGCGAGTAAATAATTAATATATAAATAAATATTTTTTATTAGTTATCATTTTTCTTTTTTCGATGATCTTATGATAATTTTAACAATATTTTTGTTATTATGATATTCTTCTTAAATTTGTTCAAGTTTGAATTGTTTTTCTTAAAAAATATGTATATCAGGGCGCCCTAAACTCATCCCGACTCCAATACGGGGCATCTAGGACGGACCTAGAAAATTTCGTGAGGTGGGACAACCTTTAACAACAAAAGATAAATTTATGTCATGGGGAAATAGTGAAAATTTTCTATAATTTTAACAGGGGCAATTTAAAATTTTACAAGTATACTATACAATGAATAAAAAATAAAAATAAAAATAAAAATAAAAATAAAAATGGGTAAGTATAAAAAAAATTCAGTGGGGCACTGAATATGTATAGGTTTGAGAAAATATTGATTATTTGCCCCAGTGAAAAGCGATCGTAAGGGCCTATTGTAATTTTAAAAACAGTTCTCAATAACTTAGAAAATATAAAATTGTTCGTAGAGAATAATCTTTTATAGTTATCTGAAAACAAACCTCTTAATTTGTAATTGAGTTTTCAGAAAATTGAACTAAACAAGAGTTTTTTTTACACTTTTCAGTTTTTGAAACTGTTTCCATAGTTATAAACCAACTTACCCTATGATTTTTCTGAAAAAATTATTATATATGGATTTCTAGAATTCTCAATTTCTGTACCCCTGAATTTTTGGATCTCTGGATTTTTGGATCTTCCGATCCTCATGCCTCTATTTATAAATTTCTTGGATGAATAGGATGATAACAGGTGTCCTTTCTTGTTAAGAACACAAATATAACTGGATCAGGCCGGTTATATTATGATGATTATCCATTAAAATAATTATTTCCAAATATATTTAATTGAAAATAATTATATTTTTATTTAACTAATTGGACTCGGCTAATTAAATAATTTAAATTGACTAAGTTTGGGCTAATTAAATAATTTAATTAAATATGAGACCCATATTTGATGGGTCAATTTGCAAAGGAAAAATCCACGAAATTTCGGTGTCTACAAGGCCAAGCTCGATTTTGGTTGATACTTCGCGAACTCTGGTTGGGGTTGAGCTCTCCAATGAGCTTATGGGGATTAAGCTCTCCAACGAGCTCACACAGGTCCAAGGGGCAGCTCCCCAAGGTGTTTCTTTTAATTAGAAGCAAAATGTGGTGGTCACAATTGATTTGGGTTTGATCACAGTTGTGTTAAACTTCGATTACAACAAGCATGCATTCATTGATCAATCGAAGCTAAGTAAACATCGGATCACAGAGACTAAAGTGCAAGAAATATGGAGTTCATCAATCCATCCAAGATAAGTAAACATCGATCACATAGACTAGTGTAAGTTTCGTTTAAAACTTGGAGTTATTCGATTGATCCAAGTCACAGAGACTTCGATTGTCTTAAATAATAGAATTGGAATTTGTTTCCAAACGAGTTTCTTAACAAAAAAGTGATTCTATATAAATAATATTAGGTCTTTGTGGGAACCTAATAGCCCCGCAGAGAGACCACATGACTCGTCAAGGGTGAATTCAGGAATTGTCAATGGAGTGTGTTAATATTTCTTTGGTTGGGCTAATACTAGTAATAAATTTTTTTTTTTTTTTGGTGGGCTTGAGTGGGATCTGCCAGTGTGACTCGTGCGAGGTGCCCCCCTCCCCCCACACGGATCGAGTAAAACTCGAATTATGTCTCTGAGTGTGACCCTAAAAAATTATTTGCACCTAAAAAAAATCAATTTTTAAACCTGACGCTTCACAAGGCTCGGCCAACCACTTGATTGCTCTTAGTTGATTGTATTATTATTGACAAGAAAAGTGTGAGAACCTCCTAATCTGCAATGAATTTCTGTAAAAGGTTTTATGGTAAGAGATAGAGAGAATCCAAGTCTCTTTCATACACGGGAGGTCAAAAAAAAGAAAAGAAGGTACTTTCATATACACCAGACATATTTATATGTTTATATATTGCATGACCAAACAATTATGAGTTATTTGTAAACTATAATTATTTGTGTTAAGTTATTCATCACAAATAAACATAAATCCCATAATCTTAGAACTTCGCTATTTTCAAATAATCTATAATGCATAAATAAATACTAGTTAGATATAAATACCTCGATTTATGATATCAAATTTTGTTGAGATTAAGTTCAATGTCCAGATCTTTTAACCACGAACTAAACTGTAACTCTGATCAATAGGCAAAGCATGGAAACGGTTTCTCTCTCTTGGCCTTTTGCACACATAAAACTTTAACTACCAAATAATATGTCACATGTCCAAACTATGTGGGTTACAATTAAATAAATAATCTTATATTATTAAGTAGTTGAATATGATTGAAATTGTCCCCTACTTTACTTACAAATGTTATAACTTATTATGATCAGGAGTTATGAAAATCCATGAATTTTTTAATGATCGTGATATGATTTAAAATGTATGCTTTATATGCTTGAATTGGCAAGTTAGTACAGGATTTTGTTTGAAAATCTAATATGTGTTCCCCTTATATATGTTACAAGATAAATAATAGTACTACAAATCACTACTATGTCTATGTGTAAATTTGTATAGAAGGCCCATTATGGACTGGGAGACAGTTTTGGGTTCAAAGTCCAAAGTCCAAACTCCATATTGTTTCACTATTTTGGGATTGATTTGATGACTTCAAACTTTATAAGGATTATATGCCATAAAGGCTTGTGGTTACGTCAAAAATGAGCTGTCCTAAAAAGAATAAAATAAATGACTTATTATTATTTTAAAAGTATAATTAAATAAAAATTACCTACCAACCAAACGTGCTCATAGTCTCCCAAAATTCATTGTTTTTTATTCAAACTCATCTTTACACTCAACAATTTTAATTTTTTTTTTCTTTTAGAAAAAAATTGATACCCACATCCATCAAAAGCATCTTAACACTCCACAGTTTATCTAAATAAATCATGAACCGTGTGATCCAGTTGTATTTCATTTATCTTTCAAAGTAAATAATGAGGATTTGAGTCTCCCAAGAAGAGTAAAATGAAGGTGTAAGTGATCTGTGAGAGTTTAATGCTAATGAAAAAAAAAACCATTTATAATACATTTTTAGCTACCTAATTCACATAAAAAAAACAAAAGTTAGGTTGATGATGAGCCTTACAAGTTACAACATGACTACATGGGTCTCTGCTACCTATTCAAAGAATTAGACTAAACAAATTAATTTAACATATTCCTCCCATATAAATTACAAAATTTTATAATTTTCTTTTCTCATAACTCACTTTTCAAATATTAATCATTGAGAACAAAAAGGTAAATCACACACTCTTATAGCCTTGTGAATCAATTAAAAAAAGTACAAGTGTAAGTGCACCTTTTTTTTTTTTTTTTTTTTTTTTTTTTTTTTTCTTTTTTTTGCTCATATTTTAAATTATTCCCTTTGGCCCCAAAAGCAGTTTGAAGTACATACATTATTACAGTAAAAAAAATTTCTTATCATTTGTTGCATATGATAGTACAATATTGTAGCACTTTCGGTAACTTATTTCGAAAAAATATATTATGATTTATTGTGTCTCAAAATAATGTGCTGGACATCATTACGAAACATCAATTGATCATGGTTCGTATATTGATTTTATATTCTTTGATGTCTCAAAACAATTTGTTGACTTTACTAATTCTCAAAATAAATTATTGAGCATTTGTACAGCACCAAATTACTTAGGGCCTGTTTACTAACAGGAATGATTCCTGATTTCTGCTGTCAATCCCTAAAATTGAGAATTAAAAGTAAAAATTGTGTCTAGTAAAATACTTTCACTTTTTTATTTTAAGAAAGTACTTCCTAATTTTGTGAAGAGAGGAGAAAGTGAAAAATCTTTACTTTCTATATTTTCTACACTGTTTGTAGAAATCAATTTCTCTATTGTAGCACTGTTTATAATATATATATATATCTATATCCAAACTAATCATCTGTATCACCCACCTCCTCTCCACCACGGTCATTGCCACTGCCACTTCCTCGCCGTCGACAACCACCACCACTTCCTCGCCGTCGAAAACCACCGCCATTGCCGACAACCACCACCATCATCGCTCTTCTCTTCTCTCTACCACCACAAACTGCTACCAAACACCGTCGAAAACTGAAACCCCTTTATCGTTTTGAAAGAGCAAGGTTAATATGAAATTCCTCCTCAAAGAAGTTAAAATCAACGGAATTCTCTGCCGAATCAAAGACCCTGGTGGTCTCAAATGCCGCCGCCGCCGCCAATGGAGTTCGAGTCGCATTCGATGAGAGGAGAGAGAAGACATAAACATTTTCTCTCTCTACTGGTTTAACCTAAGCCCACTGGGCAAGGCAAGGAATCTGACAATTGGGCATCTTCTACTCTGCTTTCAAAAGTCGAAAATCTTTAAAAAAGAAAAGACATGAAAAATTAACTACAAAGAAGAATAGACTCACCTCTTCGGATCCAAATATGCTCCAGTGCACCTCTTACTGGAGCAGATCCAGTGCAGATCCAGGGGCTGAGGTGAAACCACCTCACTCCATTTGCCACATCATCGGTCCAGTCAGTACTTAGTCACCACCCAATCAGCATTTACCCAAAAAAAATTACTATGTACTATTTTTATTTACCACATGTACGAATACCCTATACACTTATACTAATATATCATACACTTATACATTATACAAAATCAAAATACATTATTTACAATTACATTTAATATTTTTTTTTTTGTTAAAAATTAGCCAAAATTACATAACCTAATTTCTCTCCTATGCTCTTTATCTTCGTCTGAAGTTCCACTGTTCTTCTTCCTTCCAACTACTGTAGTTTAATGTCTAGGGAGGAATCACATCCTCTAATATTCAACCTACTTCCTTTTACATACAAACATATATACTTTCTCTCTCTATATATCTCTCACACAAAACTACACTTTCTCTCTCTAAAAAACCCATCAAAGATTCGTTTTTCGTAGATCCTTGATTTTACATAGATCCCTTTTTCCCATCTCCTCTTTCTCTAAGATCTCTCTCAGAGATCGTCGTCCTTGCCCAACCATCTATCTGATTTTGGTATGCTCTCAAATTTTCACGACAACTACAGTAATTAGGGTTTGGTTCGATCAAAATTGCTATTAAAATCAAACCCAGATTCTGAAAAAATCGGTCTTGTTTTTTATTCTCCGGCCAAATTTCAATTTGGTTTATGAAATTTTCTCACTTACGGTTTTTGTCAAATTTGAATTTTAGTGTTGGTTATTTTGGTGATCCATCTCAAATTCTGTATCCCCTTTATATAGAAATATCAGGGGCTCAGTTTAGAAAGAGAGCGGGCGGCGAGGTATGGTTGACAATTGCAATAGGGGAAAATCAAAGAAGTCTATTGAAGAATCTGAGACCATGAATCTATCAATATGTCGTCCAATATAGCTCCAGATTTAATTAATTTTTGTACAAAACAAGAACCCCAATTAACTATTCATTAAATTCACAGTCTCTTCGAGTTCTTACTGTGTGTATATGTCGGTGTATATATATATACATAGATTGGTGTCCGGCAATTACGGCGAAAAATGGTATTTGTCAATTTCTTTATCTATTTAATCAATTTTGGTGTCTGCTATCTCATTCCTCTCCTCATAGATGAGATATACATGCATGTTGGTGGTAGTAAGTAAATTTAACTTCCATGTTTAGAGAGAGAAAGTAGAGAGGAGAGAGAGAGTTCATCCCCCAAGTCACACTCACACATGGTATTGAAATTTTAGCAACGATTTATGGCTGTGAATTAAGTCGAGTTTGAGTATTTCTTGTTCAATTTCAGATCGCCAATTTCCAGTTTCTTACTTGTGTTCTTTTCTTTCTCTGCCTATGTTTGTTTGCTGGGAAAACAAAGAAAAAGAATAGAAAATAACAAAAAGAGTACCAATACCAACCCCTAGCCGCCAACAACCACCACCAAATCAATGACTATCCTAATCTGCTCTATCAGTCCTACTATACCCGCATCAATCATAGATCCATAACTTTATTCCAAAACCCAGATCAACGGTAAGAAGTGGTTCCAATCTCACAGACCCAGTTCGTCTGATTGCAACAACAATCTGGTCCAATCAAACTGAGTTGATGCATCAGAGATTGAATTATTTGTCGCTCTCAACTTCCCAACTAATTTCTCACCATCGCCGCCTCTATATATATGTGTGTGTGTATGTATCCGTGTATATATATATATATGTGTGTGTGTGTGTCTATATATGTGTGTGTCTATTGGTGTTGGGGCGGGGAAGAAAGAACAGAGAGGAGAGAAGGTGAGAACAGTGACTCTGATTTGATGATGTTCCATGGCGGCATGCGTCGTCATCACCACCACCATGACAATGGGTCCAAGTACCACCATCATGACAATGATGATGAGGCAGAGGCGGCGACGGCTGAGGGGTTCTTTACACTTGGCGTCGGGCGGCGATTATGTGGACCAGTTTGAGAAGAGAGTTTTTGGTTTATAGGCATATATCTGTGTATATATATACTGTTGAGGCTGAAATTCGCGCAATCCGATACGATATCGTTTTCCTGCAAGGAAGAGAGGAGAAGATCGATGAACCTTGACGGCACCGGTGTGGTGCCTTGTGATACCCCCGGATTTTCGAATGCGGGTTGGCCAGGCCCACGCCCGACTACCCGAGGATATCAAACAAATTAGCAATAATCGAACGCAGAATATAATTAAGATAAACATGAGTAAATAAAATTCACTGGAAAGAAACTAAATGAAAATCCTTTACGGAAAACTTCAGAATAAATCTTATAAATAAGAACCAGTCTGTTACAACCAACTTTTCCAATTATAATACAACTCGAGAATCCATCTGGTGGACCCCTAATCAAAAGCCAATACTAGAAAGCGAACAACTAAAAAAGAAGTCCACTGCTAAACCGTGAAGAACCTCTTACATCGTCGGTAGAATGAGTAGACGTCTCTGCTCAGCACGAACAAGCTCTAAGATCTAGAACCATCCGTTACCTGAAAAATAATAGTGGGTCAGGCCCACGAACAAGTTCTATCCTAACTACAATCCAAACAGAGACCCGATACGCAGATACATCCTAGACATCTCAATCATATCTATATAGTCCGTAAATAGATATATACATATAACCACACTACAGGACTTTCACTAGACTATGCTGAGGGTCTCAACCTGAATAGAAGGCAACATGCAAAAACGCACCTGAGTGGGCATGACTACCTAAGCCTAACAGGGTATACCTCAACCAACATAGCTAGCTATGCATCCTACTGTATATACGCTCCCTAACCAAATACAATGTTGAGCCGGTCAACTATTCGTCGCCAAAACACAACATATAATTAGGATTTAAATATTTTAATTAAATCCCTATCCTTCCTATTAACAGAAAATATAAACAACCATCCAATATGTCGTTCAACTATTTTAGTTGACAGAACATGAAACCATGTAGGATTTAACTGTTTTAGTTAATCCATTCCGTATGTATGAATGGGTTGGAATTAACGTTTTGATCTAATCCGTCCCTCCGTATGTCACCGTCCCATACCGGTACATACCATGCATATGATCCGTAAATGATGCAACAATATAAGTAGTACATCAAATAAAGTCCACATTATCCATATAGTTGATAAACACATAATTTAAACAAGTTATCAACTACAAATCCAGAATCCATCCATGTAATCAAACAAGACAAAGTTTACTAATTCGTCAAGCTAAATTTCAGCATTCATCCCTGTAATTGACAGAAAATATATATTTAATTCTTCAATTAATTCCAGGCCAACATCCAATTAGATTGACAGAACCTAAGTACTAGTTCAGCAATTTAAGTCCAAACCCTAATCCAAGTAATTGTAGTGAAATGCTTAATGTTACCGCAATTAAGATTACAAGCTTAAATCCATGCATTCCAGAAAAGTATTTAGTATTTCAACAATTAACATCCAGGATATGCCTAGCTCAAACTTGTTAATTAAATGATCCTAGCATGGCACCCCAACAAGATTTATAAATATATACATATTCCGTTAAATTGCTAAACTAAAAAAAAACAATTAAATTTCTTTCATTCGTTAACAACCTGCACTGCTGTATACCTTCCCACGCTTAAACCCCTGAGTATAAAGACCTTAATTTATTAAACATGGCTCTAGTATAGCATAATATAATGCTTGGAATCCATGTTCCAACTCTTTTTAATTTCCAGATGCAGTTTGCACAATTAAGTCTTTTCGGTCCGCTAAGTTCGTAAACTGCCTGCGTCTTGCCTTAGATTTTCCTACGGTTTAAAACCTTAGCATATAAATAAATTAATACATCCTAGGGCTTTAATATTTCTTGAATTAATATGTAAATCCATCTCCCTAACCCAAACACAGCTCAGAAAAACCACCATCGAACCAAACAACACACAAACAGCCCCAGAACACAAATAGGATCACAGAGCCTTCTCCAAATAAATGGAGCAGGCTCTAACCTGCCTAGAGCCGCCTCTTTTAGAGGTAGAGCTTGCTCTACTTCCTCTAGAGCAGGCTCTACTCATGGGGGAGCCGTCTCCTCCCTCCGTGGAGCCGTCTCTTTCCCCTTCTGTGAGCTTCAGTCCGTTCCTGCTTTGTTTCAGTCCGTCCTCTTCACCTCTGGTCTATTCCTAACACTTTGTTGGTCTTTAAAACTGATCTTAGGAGTTTAATTAACACCCAGTAGCATCCCATCAGTTTGCTATAACAGTAGGAATTAAAACAACAACAAAAAACAACAATCGTCTTAACACGTTTTTACAATCAAACACTGAATACAATCTTGCAACTACAATTCCATTCCAACCCTTCTGCTCCTCTTCAAAACTGAACCTAAGGTCTTATAACATCCCATTAACATCCCCATGACTTGTTCATAATAGTTCAATTCAATTACAGTGTTTAAAACCTTAACCAATTAAACATGCTTCCACCCCAAACTGCAAACCAGAGGTACCAGAACTTTAACAGAATAATTCCACACATATAGACATC